ACTTTGGATCGAATTTTTTTTACTTTATAATGGTGTGCAGGGCCATATTAAGGGTGGAGCAGAAGGAATAGCTGAACCAGGGCCCCAACTACTTGGAGGCCTACCAACAAAAAGACATTTTTATGTATTGTATGCACTTGTATATATATTAGGGGAGGCCCAAATGATATTCTACTGCCTCAGACCCCCAACTGGTCTAAATCCACCAGTGACAGTGTGAAAATAAAATTCACTTAAAAATTATAATTTTGAAATGATCTAATATGTTTTACCTTTTAAGAATTTCACACATTTCGCAGGGCAAATTTAGGATAACTAATTTATAAAAGTAAAAATATTTAAATAGGTGACTAAAGGTACCTAAAATCAGAAAGCTATGTTTATGAAATTTTATTAAAACTAAGTTGAGGCTTCTTTAAAGATAATTTAAAGTGCAAAATGCTTTTGAACAAAGTAGGACAGCTTACTGATTATATTATTAGTTTACACTTACTTTCTTAAAATTAAAATATTGTTAAAAACAGTTGCTTTTAAAAAATATATTTTGAAGTTAAAAACTACACCTCAGCTAAAGCCCTTTGACAAATATATACCTAGACAAGTTTTTCTTTCAAAATTAATTAATAGTAACGAATTCATTAACACTACTCTAGTATTTACCTTTTTACATAAAAAACACACTAGGAGAGTGAGAGATTGACTGAGAAATCTTTTAACTGTTTGAGCTACATATTGCTGAATGATTATAGATGTGTAACAGAAACTTATGCTGCTGATTTTTTTTTTTAATTATCAAAAGGAGTGTGGTTTCTTGTAATAAGTACCATCAGGTATAATGTGTGTGTGTGTGTATAGTTACCATTTCACACTATTTTTATGGACCTCAAAGTTATTATATCAGGATTATTATTCCTTGAAAAATAATATTAATAAATTCTAAGCCATGAAAAAGAAATGAAAGAAATTTCACCTTCTAAATTCTACATTGCAAAAACACAGTGAGTACGTTTCAAAATATTTAAATTGAATTTTCGATTTAAATGCACTTTTCCAAAGGACTCAGCTAAAAATGATGAGCTATTTACATTATGATATCATATATGCAGATATGATGATTTAGTGTGGCTTCTCTTAAACAGAGGCAACCTTATCATAGGAAGGGGATGGTACAAACTTCAAGAGAACACACGCCTCATTGTTCAGCTGCACAACCATTCCTGTTGTAGATAAATTTAGCATGTTGTGGAGAATGATACGATACATGACCAAAAAGTCACTCTGAGAAAGTATTAAACATGGAAAGATCTTCAAATGTAGCAGTTCCTGACTGATCTAACATCTGTAACATATCAGTCAATTCCTGTTGTTGTGGGGCACCACTGCCACTACCAGGTCCTGGTGCATGGCTTCCTCCTGTGGAGGACACAGGTGTTTCTGAAGGTGCACCACCCTGCCACTGTGTCCACATTCCTACTGTTTTAGAGATAAGAAAATAAAACATTTTTACAGTTCACTTTAAGAATGTACCCAACTTATAAAAAAACAAAAAAAATATTGTTTTGGTGATTAATAAACAAAAAATAATAGTAATCCAAGCAACCAAACCCATACAGGAATGTATGAAGCCTTCTAAAAAGAGTTAATTGCATATATATGTGAAACTGTAAACAAAGAAGACATACTACACGAGAATTTTTTTAACATTCACTAAGTAGTTTTTAAACAATTAAAACCAAATTCAGTTACATCATACAACGATAAAATGATAGAGGGGAAAAACTGGATTCTAATATATACTTTCACACAAATCTCTGAAAAGGACAATGAACAAGTACGTAACTGCTTATCGTACAAGATAAATATATTACATAAACAGAATGTTTGAAATAGTCATTAGTTAGTGTTTGCTACAACTTATAATATTCTAAAAGTTACAGAAAATTTAATCCAATAAGAAATTATAAAAGTTTGTGCCAATACTGCAAAAAAACAAAGGAAAGAAAAAAGAACAGCATTGAACCATATCCTCTTAGGGAGAAGTAAATAACTATCTACTATAGCAGTCTCATTGATTTTAGGAACTGACACGAACAAAAGACTATGCATAAATATTGTGTACGGCGTAAAACCAAACCTTAATGTCAAGATTACCACATGCTGGATAAAACTAATTAATATTTGAAGCTTTTATAAGTGAAAAACACAAGAATCTATTTAATGTAAATAATTTAAAATTTAATATCATAAGGCTTGATTCATATTTTGAAAAATGTTTGATTGGCAACTTATACTATTAGAACAGACCAAAATCCAACAAGTATCACTATGCCAATGGTTACGAAAAGGATTGCATCTTACTTTTTTCTATGTTGTTTATAAACATAAAATGTACGGAACTCTAGTAGAAATTAATAAAGATATTAAGAACAATAAAAAGTAAATAGTATGATGAGCTGTGTAGATGAGGTTACTAAATAATCACAAAAGATTCCACAAAAAAGCAACTGCTTTGAATTTTGCACAAAGCAACACGAGGAATATCTGTGCTAGCCATCTCTAATTTAGTAGTTACAGACTGAAAGAAAGGCAGCTACTCAACACCAACACTTCGGCTACTCTTTTACCAATGAATAGTGGGATTTACTGTAACATTATAACACCCCCCCCACACACACAGATGAATGGGAAGTATGTTCAATGTGACAAGGTAGTTGAACCCGCGACCCTCAGATTGCGAGTCGAGTGCCCCAATTACCAGTCCATGCCAGGCCCTAAAAAAGCAACTTAAAAGCATCCAAAAAGTTGAGTAGTTTCTCTTTATTTGACCAAGGAGTGGAAACTTTTTGATTTCATATATGATATAGGAGAATCATAACAGAACAAAACTAAAACTTTTCAGTCAGGTAATTCCTCATCTCTTGATCAAGGAGATGAAACTTGCTGGTTTCACATAAAATAGATGACAATCATAAAAGTTTACAACCTAAGATTTTAATTTAGTTAATTTCTCACCTCTTGACCCAGGAGCTGAGCTCAGCTGAGTATAAGTTGGTCCAGATGGACTACGAGAAGGTGGACTCATTTGGGCAAATCCTTGACTGAAGGTCTCTGAGCCAGGCTATTGGAAAGATAACAACACAACTCTAGTAACATTCATTTTAGTTAACTGTGACAAAATAACTATGTTATTATAGCTTAAAAAACTATTACAAAAGAGAATTATAATAGCCAATGAAAACATATATAAAATTCTTGTTATAATAAGACCTAGTTTACACACCAAAAATAAATATTTAGTATTCTTAATTTTAAATAATTTGTTTTGTAGATGTTGACAAGGAGCATTGGCTTCAACATAAAAGGTGTAACTTGTAGTAATTTCTATTGAAAAAATAATTTGAAATTTATCCTCTTATTAAGCAGGAAGTTATGTTATATTAACGGTAAAAAACAAGAATGAAACTTTTTGGTAAAATAAAAGATAACATATTTATTATTTATTTCAGCTAATTTTGATACCAAAATTATCATCATCATCACAACCCTGATGATGGTAACTGTGCTACCAAATTGAGTCAGCTGAAACAACTCATAAAAACCTTTCCTTTTATTATACCAAAACGTGTTGTTTTCATTTTCTACTCTCAATATACAGTAGCACAGTGTGCCTGACAAGACATTACAGTTATGTTATATCCAATACTCACATTCTGCTCTGTTATGGCCCAAATATGTGTCAGAATATGTACTTAAATCTGGAGGAATTATACTGTGGCCTTAGTCTCACTACTGTCTTTCTTATGCCTTAGGTATGAGAAAAAGTGTTGTTACCCATGCTTGGATTAAAAACAGAATTCATGAGTGTGTAAAGTGATGGGATGTATGTTGCCAAATGAAGTAACAAACTCATAAAATATAGTTTCTGACCATACAAGCTCATCACAGCTGTTTTAAAACATCTCAAGTTCTTGTACTGACTCAAACTCTCTATAGTACACTCAAGAAAGCTAGATTATGGTCAGGGAAAACTTGTATTAAGATTCCACTTATTTAGTACCACAACAAAGACCATCAAGATTACACTTGAAATATCAGTGCCCCTCACAGATGAGACTAGGTTATGTCTTAAATTTACAGACCATCATATGTGGAGAAAACCTTTGAAGAGTTAGTACCAGATAATATAGCTGAACCTGACCATTAGGTTGATGGGCCCCACATAGTTTGGGACAGCATCAGCTTCAATAGCAACACTGTAACCTGAGATGGCTCTTTGATAGCTGTGCAGTACAGGGATGAGGTCCTACACATTTACATAAAGCTGTACATGAATACCATTTGTGTCAACTTTGCTCTTACGTGACACAGTATCACCCACATTGTGCTTTGGTCATGGAGAAGTTTCTACAGAAGGAAACAACTGTCTGTATGGAGTGGCCTGCTCCAAATGTGAATCCAGTCAGGCATATCTGGGACTTTTTCATCACACTGTTTTAATTAACCCTGTTCATTACGTGACTCTTCATGAGCAGGGCAACACTGTTGGGGAGGAATATGACCATCTGTCCTAGTTATCAAAACCAGAAGCTCATCTGGAGCAGGTACTGACAATATTAGGTAATGGTCTATGCTTTTGAAGGTCATACTAGCTATTAACAAGACTTTCTTTTTTTCTGAACAATTTAAGTCTGTCATTAAACCATTTGAAGAATATCTTCTTCCATGTTGAGTTATGTAAAGACACCTTGGGAAAAGTGATTATAAATTATAATTGTGAACACATAAAAAAAGTTCACAGCTATCAGTTGGTTACTAGTTATTCATTATTTGCTATATCAACTTTGAAAAGTGGTCTCTAGCAAATTTTGAGTTGTATAATAGGATCCTGATATATGAAAAAGCCCAATACTATGTGGCAGAAAATATGTTTTACTAACTGAGAGGAAAATCAGGGATAAATTTTACCTGAACTACATGTCGATGTGTCCAGGCTGACTGGGGAGGAGAGCCTGAAGTTGCTGGAGATTGCTTGCCCATACGAGATAACACTCCACCACCACCAGAAGAAGGTTGAGCTATTCCTCCTGCCAAGCTGGTACTTGGATAGTTCATGCTCGAATGAGGTTGAGAGGATGGATCATAATTTCCATATACAGGTTGTCCAGATCCTGGACGCCGATCCTGCATTCCTTGTGAACCTATTGAGTAAAATTTCAATGATAAAAAATCACAAAGCCTCTTACAAATTATGTATGTGTGTGTCTGCGTATATATATATATACAGAAATGGGAACAGAAAATGATAAAAAAGGAGGAAATTGGTAATGAAAATTTTGGAAAATTTGATCCTAGTTACCTGAATTTCTTTTATTGGTTTGGTTAAAATTAGACAATGGAATGAAGTACACTTGTGCCTATTGATTAGCTATAGTGGCTTAAATGTGGTAATTGTCAATATCCCTAAGCATGGTATTAAATCATGTTTTGTTATATGATTTATACATATCACAAAAATCATCACATAAGAATCAGACCACGTAGGGGAGTAATTAAACAAAAAATATTAGTTACAAATATTCCACTATTCTAAAGTTTATGCACACCCATGATTAGTATCATCATAATCTGTTCTAAAAACAGAAACTTATTTTCTACAATTTGTGTCTATTTGTCTATTTTAATTTCTTGGGCATTTTTTCACTATATTTAAACCTTGTTTATTGATAATTACCACGTTGATAAAAATTTAAAACAACAGACAGTTGTACCTAGTAAATATAACTTGCCTCTTATTGCTGGCCATTTCATAATAAGACCCAAAAAGAGTGTCATAAGGACCAGGCTTAACAAGATCAGTTCAAGTAGTGAATTTCACCTACAGTGCTAGATTCAGTTGAATGACAAATAATGTCACTGGCTATACACTTTCCTATGTGTCAAATGCTGCTTTCAGGTATAATATCAATTTGAAGATTCCAGTAAAATATGTTTTTAACAAACTTAAATTGTAAAATCTATAAAAATGTTGAAATTATTAACATTTTATAAAATACTTCTGAAGTTTCATATATGAATTCTGAAGCAAGCATATATTCATAATTTTTTTATTTTGGTAATTGAGAATTATATTAAAAAATTTTTTTTTATCTCCACCACGTTTCAATGCTCCCATGTATTTTACTAAATATGGCCAAAAATGTATATTATTATCTAAAAAATGAACAGTAGCCAAATGTCAACACTAAAAAGCTTCAAAAAGTGGCAAAGTAGAAGTACTGTATCTTTCTATACCTTGCATATGTGCTCTTGGAATCATGGGATAAACTTCCCCTGAACGTTGCATACTGTAGTCAAGACCTTCAGGCTTGCCTTGTGATGGCATTAGGCCACCAGGTGGTACTGAATGGCCAGGATACTGATTCATAGAAGGATCACTGCTAACTGCTGATGCTGCACTAGTTGGGCCCTGCTCATTTCTTGGGCCAGTCACATCAGGTTGCTGGTGGTGTAGACTTCTGATATAGAAAAAAAATTATAACTAAACTTCTTTAGAGAAACAAGCTGATGATTTAACTTTATTATTAGCCAAACAGAGTTCTATTTGAATCAGAATGTACATGCTGAAGTTTCTTTTAACATAACAACTAAGTTTTACTTAAGTCCAGTGATGGGTTTTTATTTACAAATTTAACTGGTTAAGGCTACATGTTTCCTATTTTTTGTTTTTTAAAATAGATACATATATATATATATATATATATATGTGGCATTGAAGCTATAACAAAAACTATGAAAACTATTATACTAGTTTTCATTTCCACATTGAAGTGTTCAAACAGTCAGAATGTATAATAACAATATTGTTTCATACAACATTTCCAGGAAAACAAATCACTGAACTGAGCTGCTTATGAGAACTTTTTCATCAGTATATATAAATAAGACAATCTGGCATACACGTCCAGCCAACAGCCAGCTGAGGTCACTGGGTCATACATGGAATAAAGGTATGCACTACACGATATTTTTGTAAAAGGAATGAGAACAGTGATTAAATTTTGAATAAATTTACACATACACATTGTGCAATATTACTGGTGTTAAAGCAAAATAAGTAATCTAGATGCACATAAAGTTAATGTACAACATCAGTATGAACATCATATTAAGAACAAGTCTTACTTGGCAGAAGTGTTGGTGCATACTATATACTCTACATCATTAGTGTATGGATTAAGGAATGCAAAGCTACTGGTACGAAGCCACATCCACTCGTTACTTTTCCCACGAAAACGGTACATGACAGACATCACCTGACCCTTCAGTTTCAGCACTGAAAAAAACATATGAAGAAACTTAAATTCACATGATTCATTTATGTTTAAAGTTAATTAGACATAAATCTTATCTATTGGCATAAACTTAATTTAAATACACTATGTGTTCAGTCAAGAACTAGTTGACAATCTAAGGGGTAGTGCTGACCTTTAAAGTGGAGACTGGTTGCATCACATGAGTAAAAAAAAAGTTACTTTTCTGATGTCACCAGTGGCCTACTGGATGTATATTATTCTACTGATTCCCCCATCTTTTGCTTTTCCTAGCTACATCATATGGTTCTGTTTTTTCTTTTTCTAGTAGTCTCAATCCTTTTAAATGTCAATGAAGTCCTTCCATGGTTGTTGCTTTCATCTTAGTAGTCCAGAAAAGTTCTATATTCCACTACCAGCTGTGTGTTGGATTTGATATAGAGTCTTCCCTTGTGAGCTTCTCAGCTTCTTCATTTATTTTTACCCCTACGTGGCCTGATATATAATCCAGGTGATGGTCTTACCATGCAGTCGCATTGCCTTCTACTATCCATCTGGGAACCAACCTCTTTGAATTTTATGCAGTACTATCTGTGAGTTTGTTGAAATACTATATTGATTGAATTGTCTATTTACAGCACTTACTACCCAACCAGCTCTTTTGGCAACTTTGATGTAAGGACAATCTGTGGCTATGATGAAAGGTGACCATCCACGTGATTTTCAAATAAGTGCTGATGGGATTTTTCTGCTTCATTCTCTGTCTAATCTCTATATTTTCTACCTAGGCTGATTCCACAAATCCTAGTGGTTAAAAAATTATCTCAGTGAAGGCTATATAGCACCTGTCCACCCATGACTGTCTCTCCTCAGATGTCTTTAGGCATGCCCCTCCATGTTCGGTATCTAAAGAATTGTTGTGGAACTGGATCATCTTAACTGAAGAAGAAAGTTGCTTGATGATGGCCTGTATGGTCTTAACACTTCAAGATCCTAGTGAAGGATTTTTCTTGCAAGAGATGTTGGTGTTGTGCAATGCTGTTAAGACTTGTGAGGATTAAATGGGTTTTGAATGGGTGGCTGAAGTACATCCTGTAACCAGTCTTAAACAGGTAGTTTGTATACTTCCATTAACATCATGGTGTGTTGCCATGTTAGCCATAGCATAATGGGTCACACTTAGCACCTCTATATATTTTGATCATGTAGAATTCTTAACCTACTGACAGTGCAATTCTACCTGGGTAAGACTTGGGCAATAAGTCACAGCCCTTCCAAGGAAAGATAATGTATAGCAGAAGAACAAAACCCATGGCATATCATTTTAAAGATTACACTTTATGATGCAGTAAGCATTAAACATTCATAAACCATCTAACCAGCATACTACAACATGTAGCTACCGTTACCAAAGTTTGAAGACTAGCCCTTCATACCTCCCACTTCAGAAAGTGAATGATATCACATTGTACATATTCCAGTTAGCTGCACACAAGATAATTTATAAAGATCTTGCTCTTGTAAAAATACATATATCATAAGTGTGCAAGCTGTTCCCCAGACATACTGGTGAGAGAAAAACAAGCTGCAGAATTATTTATGGAAAATATCTTGCATGCAAGAGACTGAAGTTTCTTTCACCACTGGTACTGGATGAGACCTTTAATGACTGCAACAAGATACAGGCAATCTGCTACTGACCATGAGGCAATAAGGTCTTTCAAATAAAGTAGAGAGAAAGTAAAGAAAGTTTTTCTTCATTTCTATGTTTACTACAAGTTTCTTATACAATGGGAATACTGCAAGTTTCTTATACAATGGGAACAAAATACACACTAAAGCAAATATGTACTAGATGCTTTTATGAAAATGTAAAAATGTTAATTATGCAAGATGAAATTCTTACATTATATTACCATGATATAGCATTAAGCAACAAAATTTCTACAAACTATGAAGAATGAAACCAGTGCTCATGATATCATCCTCTCTAAACTACATGTGAGAGCATTTGACTCAATACCCGTGAATTACTGTGCACTTGGGTTATGTAAAAAAACAACTACATACTGTGGTGGGCATGTGGAAAGTTTGTTAAGATATGTTGCTAAGACTGACCTTACCATTCTTCAAAAAAGCATGTTATTAAAAAAACTGTCACACAATAATGTATAATTGAGACCATCATATTAAATACAGCTGATGGTAGAAAAAGTATTTCTCAGAGCATCAGAAAACCTGCTGGAATATCATTCATACGAAATGTGATTAACCCTCTGTGATCACAAACTGTTATAATAATGTATACTTTTTATGTTAACAAACCAGTAATGGCTGAAAAATGAATGTAACAGATTATGGTAAATGTTACATGAACCTGAAATCTAGAAAAAGAAAAAAAGATTCAAAATGTCATTAATGTATTTTATGCTACCTTGTTCAAAACTCTCCTTCATATGAGTCTGGTCCTCAGGATGAAAAAAATCAAAGCAAGTTTTCCCTAAAAGTTCTTGTGGCTGGTATCCAAGAACTCCTTGCACACTGTGAAAAAAAAAGAAGGAAATCTGATGTCAAAATATCCTGTTAAGACACCTTTAGCATTAAATAATGTATATTCTCCGAGATCACCATCTACATCTACTATGGGGTTTATATTAAAAATCCACCTTTACTACTCATGTATTATACAACAGTTCTTAAAATAGTAGTGTAACTTATTCACTCTACTTATTTCTTCATTGATGAAATTAGTATTGGAAATTTCAATGTTATTATTTATTCTAACATAAAATCAATTACACCAGCTTGAAAAATTGATGATGTGCTATTATGGAAGAGGAGTTTATATATACAAGTTTACTTACAAGAAGAAGTTTACAAAATATGAAAGTTTACCGCTGATCAACAAAAGTAAATTTTCCATCCATACTGTGTCGAGAAATGAATTCATTGGACGAGTTAGAACCCATCAGATCATTGGGGTTTGGGGTGCTAGTGACTTGCAGTCGACCTATGGCAACCAAGCAACAGTGGCTGTTGTTGTGGGAATCTTCAGGGTCAATGCGATCAATCTGTACACCTGAAAATAACAACCTTGTAACAGTTACATTAACTAATGTACTATTATTACACTCTAGTAAAACTATATATATACACACACATCTCAAGCTATTTACCTCTGATTTACCACTAAAAACAGATATTAATATTTTTGGGAAAATTACCAATGATACCAATAATACTTGAATGTAAGAGTTTACCCAAAATGAATTAAAAATATATTTGTTTTACAAAACCTAAACTTTACCAGTAGTCACTTTCAAGAATTTTCACTATATTTAAACTACACTTATTGCTAATTACCCTGTTGATAAAAATTTAAAACGGGTATACAGTTCTACCAGTAAATGTAAACAATTAGATGAAACTAGATGGTTTCTTATTAGCTGGTCATTTCAAAATAATACAATCCAAAAAGAGTGTCATGAGACCAGGCAAAATCGTGTAAAGTGGTGAGTTTCACCTATAGTACTATAGTCAGTAGAATGACCAGTAATGTCACTAGCTATACATCTTGCTATGTCAAATGCTATTTTGAGGTGTAATATGAACTTGAAATTTTCAGTAAAATATCTGTTTTGATATTTTATTAAACAAAAGTAAATTGTAAAATCTATAAAAATGTTGAAATTATTAACATTTTACAAAATACTTTTGTTGTTTTGTTTATGACTTCTGAAGCATGATTCTATATATATATTTATATATTATTATTTGTTATCACATTAACTGAAAGTTAAATTAATTTTACTTTTCTTCCTTCCGAGTTTTTATGCCAGTATGATTTACCGTATTAAATATGGTCAAAAATGCAGCTATTTTCAAAGCTGTTCTTCTTTAGTAGTTGTGTCACACTTTTATTATTCCACAACATGTGAATTTAATCAAAGGCCTGTAATAATAAATATTCACACAGAGAAGGAAAGTCATGAGAGAAACAATTTAATTGTATTCTCAAGTGATGATAGTTTCTTAGCAAATAGAAGCTTATGCTTTATGATGGGCAGAGAAATTATAAAAACAATAAATAAGTGCTTTATTCCTTCTTAAAGCTGTATAAAAATGGAAACCCAAACATTTTATATATTTTTCTTTGTGATTTATACGAAATAAACATTACAAAATATCAATTCTAAAATAGTTTTGAGTAAAGAATTGTTGACATAGAGTTCAAATTAGTATCTTTACTCAAGTTTCGATATACAGGAGTGCACTTGACACCTTAAAGGTGCTCACTAGTTTGAAATGGGTTATTTGGGAAGTATTTCAAACTTTGTCTTGAGGTTGTTTTAGTACCTTTGACAACACCCAGCCTCACCCTTTTCAACTAAATTACACACAGCACTATTGTAATATAAGTTACAAAGCATTAAAGCTTAGCACTTTCCCCTTCTGATAAATTACTGGCTTTAATCTTTACCCCTTTCCAAAGGCAAAAACCAGTCAAAATTCTCAAGATCTCTCTAAGTAGTACAATAATTGTAAATTCAACTAATAAGTTCACAATTAGACAAACAGAAACTACAGAAAAATAAAACAAAGGTTAAGTTAACTGAAAATGCTAAAACCTACAAAAAATGTTTAATATTATGATTTAAACACCCGTAAGCCTAACGGAAATAAATGTTTGAACATTTGAAAATTTTTTAAGTATGGAATAATCTAGTTAAGTATTATGTAGTGATAAGAATAAATTCTGGAATATTTCGAAGTAAAAATAACTGTTGATATGGAATTAAATATTTTTGAGTTAAAACTTTACTTAAAAGTATGCACTCTGAGTGACTTTGATATGAACATCCATCAAACAGTAGAAGGTTAATTGGTATGTAAGGAATCACCTTAACTTTTCTATATATACATTACAGAGCTTGGGGACATGTAAATTCCAAACTACAAATATTTAACTGGTGTTAACACAGTTTATTGGTGAATAACATTTGACACGTTTTTATACCAGGATTGTATTTCTGTTTTAATTTCATGCTTATGCATGGTTAATAGCACAATTTTTTAAAATAATATTTATGGATAGAGTAGTTTAACATACCAGCATTTCTTCTTAATAGGTACCCTAATCTGCTTGTCACCTTATCTAAACTCAAGATTTTGTCTGTATAAATAACAATATTCAACACCACACACACACACCTGAAGGAGGCCAGTTCTTGATGTAGCCTGTACAATGTACTACAGCATAAGCATGCCCATCACTGGATGGTCCAAGACTATTACGTTGTCTGATGCGATGTAGGTGGCTAGATGCCATGGCTTCTGGTTGGATATTTCCAATTTTCATTCGACAAATAAACCCTCGTCGAGATCCCATGCACAGCCGCATTGAAGCTAATTGGTGTACAAAAAAAAACAAAATTACTATGATGTAAGTATAACTGTCATATTCCAAGTAACTGTACATCAGTCTACCCTTACATATGGATCTTCAATAGATTTTTCAATAATTATCTAGTTCTGCATGACTAAATTCACAAGTATTCTTATTTATGACAACTAATGATATTCCTCTAGTGATTATCTTGGAAGACTCTGAAAAAATTAAATTAGAAACATATATAAACGATACATAGTATAATAATACAATCACAAAAATGCAAAATCAATTAGTACAGAAAAAAAATAGTCCTGCTATAAGCATTTTTGGCTACAATAAGAAATAGAACAATTTTTTTATAACTCTTAATAAAGCCAATTAAACATATTTAAGAATTTAAATATAATTGATTCACTGAGAGAAAATGAGATACTAAAAAGATATTGGACTGTCTAACATCAAATAAACAATAACAGATCAAGCATTAAATGTAGTACGAAACAGATCCAATAACAAAATTCTCTTTCTTCATGTACAAGCACAAAGTACAAAAAAAAAACTACACTGTCAACATCTGATAAATGTCTTGCACTTTAGCCTTGTTTAAGTAATTTGGAGACTTAATGGAAATTTTCTGTTAAATTTCAAAGACCATCTGGGATATATCAATAAGACTAGCTTTTCTCTTCACTACAGAATCAGGATTAACAACAAAATATTCTTCTGTGGTGTGATAATTATCAGCCATCACACACAAATGTAGGGCCAAACTTCTCATCAAACCATCCAACATTACAAAAATTTGTAAGTGAAAGAATTTTCTCAAAACACAAGGTCAGTATTGATTTCAAATAAAGACACTCTATGAAACATGCAATTAAAGTACTGTAAAAATAGAAAGAATCAGTCTACCAAATGGAATATGAACATGTTACGAAGTATAGTTGCAAATAAACAAGACTTCCATCTGTCAGAGTAAATAAAAATCGACAAGGCATTTATAAAGCTTCATTTGAAAAGCTTAATGTTATTAATCACTCGCATGAATAAAATCTGAGTTCTGAGATTAACAGGACTTGTGAGTTAAGAAATACAAAACAAAAACTTTTTGCTTGACCCAGCAAGGATTATTGTTATAGCTTGGTTGATTTAATATGACTGGAAGCAACAAACTTCAAATGTAGTTTTTTTGTTAAGGTTTCACTCATATATCATTAACTTAGTTCACTCACATATCATTAATCTAAAGTTTAGCATTTTTTCACAGCTAAATAACATGCATGTGAAGCTTTTAAAATTCTAATAAACCCAATTCTATGGAGCTAATGATAGTAACTTAAGTTGGCTTGATATGATTTTCTTTCTTTCAGATTTTTCTTTCATTATAACTTTTATAATTCTATTGTAAAATACATCTAGAACTTACATAACCAAATATTTTTAGATTCATTATAGTCACATCTTTCTGATCATAATAAAGTTTTAAATTTAATTAAAAAATTTATCCCATATTACTTACTGTTTTTGGTTTTTATATTCTTATATCTTTACATTATGGGTTCCTTGACAGCTTAAACAAATTTTATTCACAATAACTAAATGTATTCTTGTACTCCATCCTTGCTCGGTTAATCAACTTGTTGTTGCTTTTTCTAAATCATTTAATATTTTTCTAAGAACATTTTGTAGTAATCTGAATAATGGATTCATAACCCTATTTGAACAAACATACCTTATAGGTATATATCCTATTTGTTGTCTGGATAATATTTATACACATATTTTGAACCTTAAAATAATTTCTTCATAATATATTTTCCTTATTAAAACTGATCCAAAAGTCATGAAATGAAAAGTATCATGATAAAAGCTGTTGATACTACCAGTGAGAGAAATGCTAATTATAATTATTATATCTAAAATTAATAAAAGCATTGAACAAAAATAAGAACTTCCTTTTCTATATACTTAGATGAAAAATGTTTACAAATTACTTCAGAATCTTTTAAGAGTACTACTCACATTGATGTCCTTCTTTCTTGACTGTACCAGCTGTAAGAAAGAGAAAGTACAAGTAACATCATAATCTATTATTTATAACTTGAGTTATAATTTTTCAAATTGAACAAACACATTACACGACTACATACATCTTAATCTATTATTTATAACTTGAGTTATAATCTTTCACATTGAACAAACACATTACATGACTACATACATCTTAATCTATTATTTATAACTTGAGTTATAACCTTTCACATTGAACAAACACATTACAATACTACATACATCTTAATCTATTAATAACTTGAGTTATAACCTTACACATTGAACAAACACATTACATGACTACATACATCTTAATCTATTATTTCTAACTTGAGTTATAACCTTACACATTGAACAAACACATTACATGACTACATGCATCATAATCTATTATTTCTAACTTGAGTTATAATCTTTCACATTGAACAAACACATTACACGACTACATACATCTTAATCTATTATTTATAACTTGAGTTATAACCTTTCTCATTGAACAAACACATTACATGACTATATACTTCAATTACTTTGAAACAGTAACAAAGCTTTTGTAATCTGAGATACATTTATTTCTGTTTTTTTAACAAGTATTTACTTAAAATCTCAAATTCTTAATAACATATCATTATCAATGTGTGTTAAACTGTAGTTGTTTCAAAAATAAAAGCAAAAACACTGATGCACAAGTTACCTTTCTTCACACATTCATCACATCTAAAACTTTTGTTGCACTTTGAAGTTTAATTTCATGTTAATTGCTTGCTTGAAGAAAACAATGCAACCAAAACTTTTCAAAGGGTAATACATTGAATAAAAAAAATTGTGGTTATGGACTACATGGAAGTATGCTATAAGTTTTTGTACAACTCACCAAGAAAAAATTGACTTATCTTTTGCATTCAGTGAATTTCTTGTTGGGTTGTGAACATGTGTGTTTGGTTGTTTCAAGTAATATTTTTACAATGAAATTTTGGAAAATTCACAATCCAACAAAATTAAGAAGAAGAAGAAGAAGAAGAAAAAACAATGTTATAAAAAATAATTCAATAGTATATGAAAAAAAAATCTCCACTGTACCTTTTATTAAAAGAATAATAATTTTGATAATCATTATCTTGTGCTTTTTAATGTTTCTACTGCTCAGTAAATAATATAATACAATTTTTAATTGAACTTAGGCATGGACATGAACTTTCAGCAGTGGTTGAAAATTGTTTGTTTGTTTGAATTTCACAAAAAACTACAAGAGGGCTATATGCGCTAGCCATCCCTAATTTAGCAGCGTAAGACTAGAGGGAAGGAAACTAGTCATCACCACCCACCACCAACTTTTTGGCTACTCTTTTATCAAAGAATAGTGAAATTGACCATCACATTATAACACCCCTATGGCTGAAAGGATGAGCATGTTTGGTGTGACGACCTGCAGATTGCGAGTTGAACGCCCTAACCACCTGGCCATGCTGAAAATAATCCATTCATATGGTCCCGATGTTCTGTGTTATGTTGATTTGTTATAATACTTGCTTTTATGCATTTCATAATTAAATACATAACTGTGCAAATCAATAAAGAACATTTAATTCTTCATAATTAGATCAATGCATAATACTAAACATAAAAACAATTTTTCTAGAGATAAAAATCACCTATTATTTACTGTGATAGCAGTCTTTCTACTGAATACTACTATCATGGTTACTATAATTCATGCTTGTGAGAATATAACAACCACCATCCAATCAAAAGAACAGAAAAAAATAACCTACTTTTGAGATCCAAAATACGTCCAGAATTAGGAGACTCCTGTGTTGAAAGCTGTTCTCGTACTTTATCAAGGTCATCAGGATGGATCAAATCATACAAACTTGAGTTCAACCAATTTGTCTGAAGGAAAAGTAATTCAATCAATTATTTGATGTGTTTATCATATTCTTAAACAACTTATTTTAAAGAAATGCATTCTGCCGATAGAACATACAATTTATATACCAGTAACAATTATAATCAGGACTCTAATAAACAACAACTTTTTAATGAATGATAAAACAGTAACAATAACAATAAATACAAGTTACCAAGAAGTGCATTTTGGAATAATGGTATACCTTATAACTTGTTGACAGTAATACTAAAATTCTGCTATGTGTGGATATTTTCCCACAATATTCCTTCAATTACATTATCTACTTAGGTTATATTGCAACTTTTTAAAATATTTTTACAGGTACCTTAGAATATTTCAGTGGCAACTGTATAATTCTACAGGTTTTAATGATATGATTTTGGCAATAATTACATATCTGAAACTTATGACAGATACTATTAGAACTAGGCTTACTTGTGATTGATTGAGAACAGGAGTCACTGAATCAGAAACATATATAACTTTTCCTGTGTCACATGCAGCCACAAACAGGAAACCATCAGCAGCCTACACTCAAAACACATAAAACATATTTAATCTATGATAAACATTAAAATGGGAAGAAACTAATGACATACAATATTGATAAAGCTAAGGTAGACAGTAATCAATAGTTATCTAAGTCATGGTTATTTGAAAGAGGGCTCTGTGTATGTATGTTTTCACTTACAATTTGCAAACTGTTGGACCAATTGCCACTAAACCTGACATGTACTCCCTAGAGCTCCCCTGGGAAAGACAAAGGGAGATTGGCATAATGTGCTCTTACTCTTAGTTAACTGATTAACCACTTTATCAGAGTTTGATTCTACTGTAGGCCTATTAAATGTAGAAGAAACATAAAAACCATAACAAATTAGTATACAAGTGATTAATACAAAATTTCATCCTGATGGCTCAGCAAAAAAAGAATTTATACTGCACTAATTTGATCTGTACATTTGTTTTTCTTTGTTACTTAAATTTTGACTTAAAATAAGTAAGTCTTTTAACTTAAGATTTTTGTACCACATTCAAAAACAAGAAAATATACCACAGAAATTTGCAATATCTGACTAGCTGGTTAACCAGAACTCTAGAATGATATATTATTTTGGCACTAGATTACTTTTTATTTAGAATATTCATAAAAACAAAGGTTGATAAAATGAAAATAAAACTTGAATGATAAATATACGTAATATTTGTTATTTATTTTTCATTATTTTTGTACTAAATCTAATCAATCACACTTTAATCCAAGCATAAAACCAATATGGACAATATTTATATGTTGTGCCCCTATAATATATAATTGTGTGGTACAAACAAGCAAAATCTGGATATTCTCAAACAAACTACAGGATTATTTGCTTTTAATAAAATTCTTAATTCTTTTAATCTGACTTTAAATTAATAGATTCAAGGCTCGTAAATGATAATACTATTCCAATCTAATGGATCATTGGAATACAAATTGTTATATTCTTAGAGTTTATGTTCGAGCAAAGAAATAACAGTAATGAAAAAGAGAATTCCCTGGATAATCCCAGAATATAATTCTCAACAGTTCTTCCAATACCATTCTAAAAACCTAATTAAATAATCAGTAATAATAAATCTCAATTGCCTGAAATTTCTTAGAACTAAGTAAGATAACAGTGTTGGAACAAAAAGGAAAAAAGAAACTGTCTATAGTATGTTTAAATCAAATTGCAAACAACAATTCTCAACAGTTTTCCTAATCAAATATGGAGGAGATGATTATCAAACAAAACCCAGAAAAAGAATATGTAATAAATAAAAGAATATGTAATTTCAAGCTGAATAATGTTTATTTAGATACTGATAGATTTAAACTTATAACACAATCAGATACAGCAGATCTAAAAAAAAACAAGATGTTTGTCAGTTTGTAACATCTGTAGCAAGTTAAATGATTAATACATGAGACAAAGCAAAAACACTCATCAGATAAAATAAACGATAACATATATAGACTGATAGCTTTAAATAATCCTGAATCAAAAATAACTAAAATGCATCGATATAATGATGCTGATTAATATAAAACATGGATGAAGTTTATAAGATCAAAAGTAATACAAGACCATTAAGAATATGCCTTGATATATAATTGCAACTAAGTTAAAAATATATATTTGCTGTAGGGGAAAGATACAAACACACATATCACCCATCATAAACTATGACATAATTCTAGAAGTCATCCAGAGTAATATATATGTATGTCCAAAGCATTTTCTGGATATTAGCACAATTTTGTAATTTTTTTTATGAATATATTAAACATAAAGTTAACAATTAAAGCACTTTGAAAATTGATAGTTTGTAATGTTGAAAAATAAATTAGAAATGAAATGAAAGTTAGAGAAAAAGCAAAAAGATTGATAATATTTGTTAATTTACTAAAATAATAAATCACAGATGCAGCAATTGGTAAGGTTTACACTTTGTTGGAAAAAATTAGAAAAGCAGCTGACAAGAAATGCTGGAGTCTGTATTTTATACATTAAACTCACTTTGATCAATGCATCAAGTAATGCCTGAACAATATTTCAAGGAAAACTAGAATAACCAGGAATGTCTTTATTTGATCAATGTATCAAGTAATGCTGGAATAACCAGAAATGTCTTAGTTTGATCAATATATCAAGTAATGCCTGAACAATATTTCAGGGACATGGAAAAGAAGGAAAGCTGGAATAACCAGGAATGTCTTTATTTGATCAATATATCAATCAAATAATATCAAGTAATGCCTGAAGAATATTTCAGGGACATGAATAACAAGGAAAACTGGAAAACCAGGAATATCTTTGATAAATACATCAAATAATGCCTGAACAATATTTCAGGGACATGGATAACAAGGAAAGCTGGAAAAACTAGGAATGTCTTTATTTGATAAGTACATCAAGTAATGCCTGAACAATATTTCAGGGACATGGATAACAAGGAAAGCTGGAATAACCAGGAATCTCTTTATTTGATCAATATATCAAGTAATGCTTGAACAATATTTCAGGAACATGGATAACAAAGAAAGCTGGAATAGCCAGGAATGTCTATGTTTGATCAATATATCAGGTAATGTCAGAATAATTTCTCAAGAATGTAGTTAAATACTTTATACCTAGCAAAAGCAATAAATAACAACATTTTGATTAATGAAATTTGGCAATCTATTTTTATCCAAGAAGTATCAGTGGGGTTGTAAAAGTTTTATGTATATTAATTTTATTTTATTTCATTCAAGGAGTTAATTTTTTCAATTGTCAAATACAAAGGTGTTATTTAGGTATTTATAAATCATTTTATGATAAAGATAGCGGTAACAAAATTAACGGGAGATGTGCTTTAGAATGTTTTCTTAAAATATAGGAGTATTTGATTTTGTTTTGCTGGAATAATGCATGAAAGACCAATGCAGATAAAGAGTTATATTACTTAAGATAATGGATAAAAACATAAATTGATTTACTTGTTTATTTTTAAATTTTGCTTCCTCACAAATGAGCTAAAATTAATACATGTTGACTTTAGATCATAACTACTAGTTGTTTTTACAACAAGACAGTTTACTTTTGGTTATGTGTATTGTAAAAGAGGATAAACTTATTTCTAAACATTTCATTATCATGTAAACAGATTTTTAAAAAATGTGACTTAAAATATTTATCTATTGTGGCTTGCATTAGTTGGGTGAATATTTTAAATCCAAATCATCCACATAAAAAGAAAATTTACTTACTTCTAAAATAAGGTGTTTCAGTTCCTGATCTGTGAGAAATGAAGGTTTATAGGTTCCATCACTACTGGTGTTGCCTGTTCCTTGAAGAAAAGAGATATTCTTGTCTGATTAAATGTTATTAATCAACCAGTGAAAAAAAAAAATATATAACAAGGTGGCATATAAATTGGAATCATGTGAAAGAAAACAAAATTTGAACGTTAATACCAGTTAATGATCTGATTTAAGTATTATATGATTTTTTTTACAACTTTTACAGAAATCATTAAATAAAAGAAAAAAATTATCCAATATGTGTCCTTCACTTAAGAATTCAAATGACACAATAACAAATCCCACAAAATGAACTAAAGCTGTAACATCAGATGTTGCTGCAGGGCTGAAGGAGACTGGTTTGGTATGACAATGAATGAACAAAAACCAAATTAATTCTTAAATAAAAATTGTATATGATAATGTTGGTAACCAGCAAAAGAACAAGTTTTTTGTTGATCAAAGTAAGAAATATCTGAGCAATATATTTGTTCTGATTGTTGCAAAGAGTATGTTACTACTGTAATAAGCACAAGTAGATACATAATCAAACAATGTACAAAGTTCTTCCCATGATTTCAGCATTTATAGGTTGGTAATATAGAACTAAGTTTAAAGAAGCAAAAATTATATATATAGCAAGTTACATTAAACTTTATGAAGAAATTCAGAGTTTTCATTTCTATCATATGTGTACTTAATCAAAACTAAGAGTGCCAGATATCTTGCTCTAGTGCTGGGCCACACTGCCTACTGTGAGTAGATCTCTGAATGTACAATAAAACACAAATAACCAAACACTAAGGTTAATTTTAAGTTAGTTCTCAAAACTATGACTGTAATTGTAGAAAAACAATTGTGACATAATTTCTAAAATGTCACAAGTTCTAAAAATAAAATGTTAGTACACAAAACCTAAGCATCACTTCAGTAAAACCATCACTTTATTCAAAAGCATTTTTATTTCCAAGTATTAATGAAACACACATTTACATCTGAGAAACGTAGTTATCTATAAAAGTTTTACTTCTGATTTGTTTACACCTGTAAGCTATTTAAATGTACACAAAACATGTTCAATCTGTTTCCAACTGTGAAATGGCTAACTTATTGGAATTTTAATTTCCACTTAAAGCATCCATATGCAGTGATAAAGCAATGATACTTACTGACATGTCTAGGGTACATAAAATTTTTAAGTGGGTATGTAAAAAACCCCAAAAACAAAAGCAGGTGATTTATTGCTTATTACAGATCTAAGCTGCACATATTTTGTGATTATCTGTTATTTTAATTTTATGTTTATAAAGCTTCCATCATACAATACATCGCTCACTTGTAATAGCATACAAATTGTTATCTACATGTATCAGAATCACTTTTGAAACTTGGTGCACATGACTCATGTTATTAGTAACAGCCTGTAGCTGTGCTTCAAAATACAGAGTTTTGAAAAAATTCAAAAATGAAAGTAGTTTTTTTATTTGTTTTATGTTTGCATAAAAAGAGTAGGAACAATGATGATTTGAATGTAAAATAGGTAACTGAAAACAGTTAAGGCAAGAACTATTTTCATTTGTGCATATAAAATTCTGTACTATATGTCATTATGGGCATGCAAAAGTTTTGACAATTTTTGCCTCATTATGTCAACCGAGGGAAGACTTATTTCAACAGTTTGATGATTTGTTTAACTTACTTAATAATACCATATGTTTTAAGTGCATTGATTCTTTATGAACAAAACTTGATTAGCACAAGTTCAACCAATATATCTGTCTTGAGAAAAACTGCTAGTTTCACTTTTAACAACACCTGAGACCAAAGGAAGTTTAATAAAGGCTTCCCTATGCAAGGTACCTCATAAGCGTGGAAACAGTGTAAAGCTTGGCTAATGATTGGCCTTCATCTCAAGGTCTGCAAAGTACACTCTGTAAACACCTGTCTCTGTTCTTAATCATTAATCACTGTGGAAACAACCACCTGCTGTTGGAATGTAACCAGGTTCTTAGCATGCTTATTGTTCTTCTAGGTGCTACCTTGCTGGGCTCATGAAAAAGTTAAATAAAATCCAGTTACTAAGTCCCTTCAATCTGATTATTTCTCTAAGTTTATGGATTAAGAATGAACTTGCTAAGTATTACCAAGTATAAGTACAACTTGCACTATGCTCATCAATTATTTGTAGACACTAAGAAAAATTCAATACTGAATTACTGTACTGTATGAATGACTCTTACACTGACTATTTTGTGCTATCTTAGTATATTGATAAACAATTTGTCCTATCAGGGACCAGTAGCTGTGACTGATCATGTTGATCCAAACATTTAATGCAAGAGTGATGAAACACAAATTTAAAGTACATAAAACATAAGAAATTTTGGAAACAAAGCCACGCATTTCATATTTTCAAACATGTTTTATGAATCCTGAATAACTTATTGAATGTAACCTAATAAACTGTCTGACAAACCAAATTATCAAGATAATAACTTATCTAGTAATAAAGGTTAAACCTTAATAAAATTTTATGTGGTAGTTTATTAGTTAACTGGTCAACAATGAGCTTAGATCTCAACAGCTTACTGGTCAACAATGAGAATAGATCTGTACAGTATATTAAGCTTTAACATATTTAGACCTGTCTTTGGAGGCACAGTTCTGAACTCTACTCTTGTTGGCTCAACATCCTACTAATTGTTATAGTGTTATTAGAGAGAATAATTAGTTTCAGATGTTGTCTTAAACATACAGATAAACAACAAATTGTTGACCTTATGCTGTCTCAACCCAGATGAAAAGAGCACTTCTACCTTTGAAAAAAAAATATATATATATGTATGTGAATGAAATTTCATCACTTCGTAACAATGAAGAATTATCACATAGATACGCTACCCTTTAACCAGAGCTATTTTGAAAGGAGGGCCTCATGAAAGTGCTCTGGTTATAGGGTATCATATCTCTGTGTTAAATTGACTTCTTCAACATATATGTTTTTCTAATATCATGAATGAATAATTATCCACATTTTCAGTTGTAACAAGTTAAAGAAAGAAATTACAAGTATCAATTATTTCAATTATTAGTAAATGAAAATTGTGCCAAAAATAACCGTTATAAAACACTAAAAGTTTTATCAAACGTAAAAATGCAAATGGTACAACCTTGTAACTTAAATGATCTTCTCAGCACTCTTTTATCATATATCCTCTTTTCTGCCTCTATTATGGACAAAGCAGTGTACGATCAACAACCTGCTGTTTGTGCTTACACAAAAACATTTGAAGTCCTGCTTAATAAAATAGCCTTACATCATTCAGCATCTCAAGAGTATGCAGCAGGGAACCAGAAAGTGCAACTTTCAGAAATGTTCATTGTGCCTTGAAGAATAAACTTTACACTTCAAAGAGCTATTACAATTTACCAGTTAAAATCTGATCTTAATCAAACAAATTATTGATTGCTTATACAAATGTAAGAAGTGTTTTTATAAATATAAAAGAATAAAAAGAAAAACACCCCTCTAAATTCCATATCCAGAGGCTTAATTACACTACTTCCTAAGATATAGTGAACTAAAGAAAATGAAATACGTTACACAACTCTGCATAAGTATATTTTTTTACTACAGTCTATTACTATTTATAATTTGTTTTACCACATATCTTAAATCAAAAGGTATTCAGCTGTGTGAATTGTAAGAAACTAGCTCTTTTGAATTATGAACAAGTATTCAAATTAAAGAGACTTAACTCTGAAGGATCATTTTAAATTCTGATGCATTTTATTATACTCTCTCTCATGTGCTCTAAATAATAGTTCTGATTCTTGATTATGATTGATAAAAAAATCACAAAAGGAAATGAATGTGTCAAGATCTGTTTTTTTAATCTCTCTCTCTCTCTATGTAATCACTCACCAACCACACACATATTATTTCAAAGATTTGTTCTTAGCCATTTCAAAAGCACAAAACTTATTAAAGATTCAGGTGGACAGATGGATATGTTTAAAATCTACTGTCATCAGCAAAAATCTGGTGTCAGAAGATGTATTTTGTTTGACAAGATCAACTCCAAGCAAATACATCATGGCTGAAACTGGGTTGTGTAAGCACCTCCAGCAAGACTTTAAGAGTTCACTAGTTCATAACAAATTTTTATAGAGAAACCAACTATTGCATGAATTTCATTACAATAAAAATAATCCATATCTGAAGGAAGAAAGAAATCATTTAAGTTCTTCAATTAGTCTTTCAGGAGTATGCATTAAGTCAATAAAAAACAACCCTAAACTCTTTACTTTTTGATGAAAGTTGTTCTTGAATACAGTTTAAAAAAAGTTCATAAAAGTTCTTTGCTTTGATAATTTTGTTGTTAGGCAAAACCACCTGGTTTCTATAACCTAATAACCCCCCCCCCCCCAAAGTAAGTTATTAATTATTTTGCTTACAAAAATTATTTCCAAAAAAGTTTTTTATTTCTAATCTCTAATCCTTTCATCATCTGCTGAAAATAAGTTTGAACACTTTTGAATTCTTGGTGCCACAAATATATAATTATCGTTTTTTTTTCTCTCTCTGGAAAGGCCCCCCAGTGGCACAGCGGTATATCTGTGGACTTAGAACGCTAGAAACCGAGTTTCGATACCAGTTGTGGGCAGAGCACTGATAGCCAATTGTGTAGCTTTGTGCTATACTTCAAACAAACAAACAAACTCTCTAGGAAAAATACAAACGTGTTAAGTCACTTATGTGGATTATTCTAAAACCATAGTGATAATAATTGTTGTTTTGGGAGGATTTTGTGAAAATGATAATTGAAATTCTGTTTCAGATATGAGATGACAATTCATATATTACTGCACATTAACTTTTTTTTTTTTAATCAAAGACAATGCTACATTTATGAGTAAACCATATTACACACGTTTCAACTACTAGTTCACCAAGTTGCTACTTACTTCTAAACATTATTTCCCACTGCTATTTATATTGGCTGTAAAGACCGAAAATAAATATTTTAAATGTGGATTG